TTCAGACTCGTCATATGGATGTACTTGCATTTCTCAGTGAGTGATGATGTTCACACCGAGGCTCGAACCCAGTTCCCATTGTTTCAAAAGCCAAGGCGTTATCCACTAGGCCAATTGGGCCACGATAGCCATCCCTTGTGCAATGGGACATATTAATTTAATTTAATTTCACATTTTCCCGTCGACTGATTGGACCGAAGTATTCGGTCTCAGTGGGAACATTATCACTCACTGAGAAATGCAAGTACATCCAGATGACGAGTCTCAAATAGGACGAAATGCTCATCCTGTGTTCCGCTGCTAGTCGCCATCCACAAATTAAATACAAATTATGGTAGAGCCTAAAGGCAGATAAAATTGAGAACAATACAGTTCGCTTATATGTCTTGTTCTAACCGGTTTTCCACATATAGCCTAAAATAATAGTTTTCAATTTTCAATAGTTGGTTCGTAAGGATTAGATTTATTTTGACGAGTTAATCACGGATCGATATCAGATAGAGAACCATTGAAAACCACGAAGTTCTGGACAGCTGCTTCATTTTAGCCTGGAAATCATTGACATTCCGCACCCACCAGGGGGTGGGGGTCGAACCCAAGACCTTTCGGTTACAAGACAGCCGCTGGGACCCAATTTAATGTCTAACTCAAGAATTCTAACTTCTACCAACTCATGATTTAGCGCGACAATTGACCAATGTCATCTGTGGGATATCCATCCTCACACTTGACTAGATGGATCTCACTGGAACTCCAGGAAACTCCATCCTATAGCAAGTCACTAGCAAACATCAGTTTAGTTTCCAATAGTTGTGTTTTTTTTAAGGATTCGGTTCGTTTTCTGAATTTGGCCAAGGACTAATACGAGTTAGAACCCCAGTGGATGCTCACTACCGAGGATTCCCCGACTAGGATGAAACAGCTGATGTTTGCTCAAGTCAGAGAGAGGACGAAGGTATAATAGTAGAAGACTGAATAACGTTTTTCGAAAATTTACAGAGTTACAGGCTTCAATAAAACTTGTTTACAGCGAAGTTCACACACGTATTTCTTTGTAGTATTATTTCGTACACTTGGTTTTATGATTACTGATATATTGGAGGTTGAATGCAGGCGTCCGGAAAAACCCGCTAATGTTTTGTCGGCTGCAGTTGTAGTATAATTAAATTAATGCATATAAGTTTACGATATTAGACCTGTCTTTTTGTTTTCGACATAGAATCTTGCACCGATGTACAGCAGTTCAAGTCGTCACACTCCCTTCATGTAGCACACAAAGTAAGAGAAGAAAATGGAAGATATTCATAAAAGAGACAGTAGACAGGGATATGAGACAAAGGAATAGTAATAACGAAGAACACCATAGTTTCATTGGAAATTATAAGTCACAAGGAGTGGATGCATCTGGGCCGGCCATTGAGAACAACTACTTTGAGCCATTACACCGATTGTCTCCAGCCTTCATTGGTTTCTGCCATCCCGATGATCCCAACCAGGAAGTCTACATGTTCTTACGTGACTGGCTTAAACTGACTGACTGGTAAAGCCATGTTTTGGTTTGACCGCCGCTAGTTCTTTTCCGGCCTGACCCTATGTCAGCTAACAGTGCCCGTCGAGAAAGGCGATCGATGCCTAGGCATGTGTAACACTTCTTATGTAGAGGAGAGCATCTACTAGATTTTCTGAGCACATTCCTAAGAGTCTTCGTACAAAATGAAGAAAAGTGTAATCGAGTGCAATCGCCAGAGATTCAATTGACACAGGACACACAGTAGAAATTAGCCAAGCCTTCAAAATAATTTGATGCTAAAACAAAATAACTGGTACCAATACCAGGAGATAAGGATTTCATCATGTACTGACATCGATTAGAGGATCATTGAAATAACTGAGAGTATTTAACAGCCGTTTCATCAGCCTAGTCAGGGATTCTTCATCAGTATGCACCCTCCGATTTTTGAACCTGGGAGCTTCTGTTTAGAAGGCGAGCTGGTAGACCATTAAGCCACTGGAACCTGACCCAATGAAGATAAGTTTCTATGACCTGTAACCGTGAAAATTTGAGGAGGCTGAGATCTTGGAAATAACCCGCCTGTCTTGAATTTCATTTTAGTTGAAACAGCGTTTTTAGAGACAAGACATGGAAGCTGATCCGTTTTCAGTGTGTCTAACTACATAAAAGTTGGACAAGGACACTTTGAAGGTACAGTGTAGGGAAAGTATATTGACATCTCTGTGTATTAAGATAGAACACACATGTTGAGTTGTTTTAATGTAATACCAGTATTTTTAACTCATAAAAAATCCCTCATTCAAACATTAATAGACAGAATACCAGTAGTTCAGAGAACAGTCTGTTTACGAAAATGACTTCATTTCCATAGCTGTACAATAGAAAAGTTATATGGTTGTTTCGCATGAGTGTGAGCACATTAAATTTGTCAAACAAAAATACATTTAGTAAGTTTTTTGGTGGAGCTACGCTATACAAAGGGCGTTCAAATGAATTGGATGTCGATATAAGAGGGTAGTAACAAAAGTGATGAGTTGCCACAAATTTTTGCTGAAGAAGAGTTACGTAACAACATTAATAGTTTAATGAAAGAACACTTAATCAGTCATGAAGTTCATGATGAGATTTGACCGCCAGGATTAATGATACCAAGACTATACGGCTTACCAAAGATACATAAAGCCAACCTCCCACTGCGTCCAATTTTGGATATACCAGGTTTATCGTGCCATTCAATAACGAAATGATTAGCCGAAATTTTAGAACTTGTACGAAAACAGATGAGCAACTATTCGGTTCATGACGCCTTTCAATTCGTTGACTGTATACAAGATATCAATGTAACAAACAAACATATGCTGTTGATGTGGTTTTGTTCTCTGAGTACTTCAAATTGAAGTATGCGCTGAAGATGTCACCTAGTAGGGTGATGAAAGCTTCGCAAATAAACCATCCAGCTCAGAGAACAAAACCACATCAAAATAATCCACCTGAGCTACGAATCTTCTCTATCATATCTAAACATATGCTGTCTCTTGACACTAAGTCGCTATTTGCCAACGTCCCACCCACAGAAACTATCTGTCACATTTGTCAATATATAGACGAAAACCAGCTGAACATCGGACTAAAGACTACTACTTGTAATTCACATTCAACGATGTTATTTACAGACAACAAGATGGGATCGCAATGGAATCTCCACTGAACTGCTCCGTGGTAAACCTCGAGAACGGCCCACTCAAATTAAACATTGATAATTTCCACTTGTATGCTAGGTATTTGAACGACATCTTTATTATCTGTGATGATGGTCACGATCTTAATTACTTACTGCAAATATTCAACAAATGCCATCCAGCCAAAAAGTTCACTTGTGAAATTAAAAACGGATCAAAAATTTCTTTTCTTGAAGCTGAGCTTACAGGGAGAGCTAACGCAAATTTTAGAAGATCCATACGTAGGGAACCCACATGGAACGGCCAACTGTTAAGCTTCTACAGCTGGTTACCAATCAGCCTCCGACGCACCTGCAGCTCTGAGATCCTGGAATAAGAGCCACACTTCCTGAAAGAAATCTTCATACAAAACGGTTATCAATCAAGATTCACAGACAAAAACATCAAACAGAAAATTCAAAAACAAGAGACGCCCTCCGAGCCAAAAACATACTTTATATGAACCTCGACTTCAAAGGCGACCTACTCAGTGATGTCCTTAGGAGGAAAGTTTCCACTTTTTTAGAAGACCTATCTTTCCGGCAACCTTCAGAGTAGTGTTCTCCGGCTGCCCGTTGATCTTTAGAAGCCCAAAGGACAAGATCCCACATCTGACCACTTCTAAGTGTATATATCAGTTCACCTGTTGCTGTGGAGCCAGGTGCATTGATCGTTCCACGCGCATCCTGTCATAAATGCTCAAAGAACACTAACTAGCGTGGCTTCAGAAAGCAAGTAGTGGCCGTATAAGGAGTGCAATAATCGAACATCTCGTCAACACTGGTCATTTCATTTCAACAAACGCCTCCTCCTTCAAAGTAATCTACGAAGTGAAGACCAACCTGCCAAAGACAATACGTTTCCATCTTCTTTGCATTGCAGAATCCCTAACCCTTCGATTGGACGAACCCGAGTTATGCATACAAAGCAAAATTATTCAACCACTTCTACTTTCATGGTAACAACTCTATTGATTTGACTTAACTTTTGATGTATGGTTATTTTTCTAAATACTTAAAACTTTTGCGTAATTCCGTATGTTATTTTGTTTCCATGTATACCCTGAGCACACCTCTTTCATCAAACCATTCGTGTTATTACGTAACTCTTCTTTAAAAATCATTTGTGACAAATCATGTGCGTCGGTGGCACAGTGGCTAGGACTCTCGCTGACCATGCACATGGTCCGGGGTTCGAGCCCTCGCCGACGCACACTTGATATCTATGGTCGGCCTGCGAAATTTGGGCTACCGATATCCACGCTGAAAACTCCATACTTCTACCGAAAGTACGGTGTGGCGGTCAAGCTGTAATCAGAAATAAAAAAAAATCATCACTTTTGTTAAGACTCTCTTATATTAACATCCAATTCACCTGAACTTACTAATTGTATTTTCGTTTGACGAATTTAATGTACACACGCACATGCGAAACAACCATATAAATTTGTGATTGTACAGCTATGAAAATGAATTCGTTGTCGTAAACAGACTCTTCACTGATACCACTATATCTGAAGTCGCATAACTCTTCGGTTTCTATTAAAATTGTGATCACTAATAAGGAAGTGCAATGACGCAGGGTAATGTGCTATCAAATGAAGTTAACTAGTCGTGTGTAAAATAAAATAATAACGCAACTAATCACCTCCGTTCTCATTTCACTCATTGAAAATCACGAGCTGTTTGCAATTTAATCTCAATCTGACTTTAATTCCTAACCAAATTGACGTTTTGATTATCTTTTTTCTTGTTCTTCTCCTCTTCTAGGTGGTATATTCGCTGACTTTTTAAGAATCAATACAAGCCTTTCAAGAACAACAATACGCAAAATGTTTGCTGGATTAGGCTTTGGATTAAAAGGCATATTCTTTATTGCTCTCGGTTATGCACCATCAGAAATTTATGCTACTATGCTACTTTCATTAGCCCTGGGTAAGTATTAATTTCGCCTGCCTAATTTAATAATTCACAAGCGTTTTTGTTCACAAAACTACCTTATTATTATTGTTCCCACTTGCTCCCCTCTTCTGCTGTTCTTTTCACCTGCATACATGTTAGTTAGTCCATACTGTTTCAGCTCCTCTTCACACGATCCCATTCATGTCACCCTTGCACTGACGTCCCAATCGCCGATTCCCTTTCGGCCTGGTTCCACTCGAGCAATGGCCTGACGCGCGCACGATGTAACCCAGCGACGGTCTCCTCAGCGAGTGTCCAATCCGTCTACAGTTTCTTCTGCATATTTGTTGGTTAGCGATTGGTTCTTGTTTTGTTTGTTCCCATTGTTTCTTGTTGGTGATTCTTTCCGGCCCGGTCATCTGATCTTCAGTATAGAGCCAGCGAAGACAGTTGTTAGTTGATAAAGGTCTGCAACAGGCTGTTAGAAATATTCTGTGTGACCCGCCCGCTAAGTTTATGATCCGTATAGAAGAACTGACTTGACGTTTGTATTGAAAATCCGACTGAATTTTGTTGTTGATGCTGGCTGAGTGACGAAGATTTCCAGATTGGTTTCAGGTTGATGAATGTGTGTGTTTCTCGCTTGCCTTCCTGATTCTCGCTTGATTAGACATCCTCATCCGTTCCAACTGTCTGTAGTTGAGACAATGCCCCCTAGATAAGCAAGTGAATGAAGTAACCTGTTTCACACAAAACTACCTTGCCTTACCTTTAGTTACATATTTAATTGATGGTTGGTAACTAGCAGTGGAATCCAGCCGGTATGCGCATTTCATCCTGTTTGGTCTAGTGGATAACGCTTTGACTGGTGTTTAAAACCATGGCCATTGGGTTCTAGCCTCGGTGGGAACACCATCACTCATTGGGGAATGTAGGCACATCCAGATGACGGGTGCCAAGTAGGACGGTGTGGGCATCCTGGTGGATTCTACTGCTAGTCACCATCGACCGATTTAATGCTCATCGCATGCCCAGACACTGTCGAAACTTCTGCACAAGAAGCCGACAGACATGTCCATCTGAGACCAAGCACTTCAGTCTAATCCATCGACGAGAAAATCTAAGATGCAATGAATTCATTTACGTAATTTCCTGATTGCAGTAGACTGGATAATGCGACAGACAACGGGCAATGAGGGAACAGGCATAAAATGTACTCACACAAAAAACCTGGGGGATCTGGACTTCGCCGATGATCATATATGTCTGATTTCCCACAAACTGGAAGATATGCAAGTGAAAAGCAACAAGCTGGCAGAAGAAGCATACAGGGAAGATGTGACTTCAGGTGAACATAGATAAAACAGAGGTGATGAAGATTCCTGGCCAACACCAACAGCAACAACAACAGACGACAGTCAGCATAAATGGGAGGAACCTGAAAGAAACAACCTCCTTTACATATCCACCTACCTGGGAAGCATCGTTTCAACCACAAACAAGCGGAACTGACGAGGATATCAAAGCAGCGAGGATCATCGGAAAAGCAAGACAAGCTTTCATTAATCTCAAGTTTGTATGGAGGTCAACAGCACTCAACATGAAAAATAAGATTCAGATTTTTAACACCAATGTGAAGTCAGTGCTACTTACTATACGGATGACAGACTTGGCGCGTCATAAAGAGCATCTCCAACAAACTTCAGACCTTCATTAACAGTTGTCTTCGCTCAATACTCAAGATCAGATGGCTGGTCAGAAAAGATCAGAAACAGGGATCTCTGGCAATGAGCGAGTCAACCTAGTAGGAACCGATTGTGAAACAAATAGGCAGGAAGAAATGCAGATGGATTGGCTGGCCATACTCTGAGGAAACCATCAAGTGAAACCACTAGACAAGCCATTGCTCGGGTGGAACCCGACCGAAAGGGAAGCAGCGAGTTGATCGTCAGTGTGAGGGTAGGGAGACTTTGAGGAGGTCATGTGAGGAGGAGATGAAAGCATGTGGGCAGACCTGGAGCGGAGTGAGAAAGTTGGCAGAAAACAGAAGGCAATGGAGACGCGCAGCTGAAGCTCTATGTTCCTCTTGGAACAAAAGGATATAATATTATTAACAATAATTTCAAAAGAATGTTCATCAAACTCTAATTTTTATAAAAACTCTGAGTCAAGTTAAATTCATTCTAGCTTCATCATGCGGATAAGAGGTGAAAATTTGAGTAAAATATTTTGACCTTATAATGATATCTCATCGTCTGCTGCTGACAATTTCATATATATATATCATACATCAATGATAAAATCAATACTCAATAAGTCTTCCCATCATTTATGCATAAATAAACACAAAGATAACAATGTTCATGACCTAATTTTAATCAATACAAAGAACAAGGACAAACTGGTTGTATTTTGTTAAAAAAAAAGAGGGAATCATACTGTAAATATGACAAAATAAGAAAGTGTATGTATACAAAAAGCCTTCAACACAATAAGGATAAGAAAGTGGGATTAGAGCTCAAATTGGAAGGAGATAGCTTGATACTGGGGAGTATGATTGAACTAATAATTCGTTAGTATAGCTAATAAGTTAGACAAAAAATAGATGAAACAATTACAGCCTTTTGAGAGATATGAATGGCGTTTTGGGATGCAAATAAATACAGGAAGTGTGAGCAAAAATAACACAGTCGTAAGTTATTGCTATATACAAACCACCAAACCAGCAGGAACCCTTTCTCGACCTAGGTTTCGTACTAGTTGCCAATCATCAGTCAGCAAGGCGTATCTGCAACCACCTTGAAGGAACTCATGTCCCTTCAGAGATTCGAACCCGCGTCACCCCGTGCCACCTGCAGTCAGAAGCGTTACCACTGAGCTATTCTAGCTGGCTCGTGGTTGACCTCCTGTAGGACTGTAGTAGGTAGTTCCAACTATCTAATATCATCAAACTAATGTGCACCGTGATGGTGGCCGCATTACAAACCTGGCTGATAGATAGAATTCAGTCTGTACCAAAGAAAGGACTAGACACATCACACTAGTTACTAGTGTCCAACCAAAAAACTATAAAACCCTTTTGGTAGGCGTAGATAAAGTTTCAGTTGACTGGCCAGTTTTGCTTCTATAAAACTTTTATCATATGAGAAGCTGTGGTTAAATCAATTTCTTTTTCATACCTTTACTAACCCGATGGAACATAGAGCGCCTTCAAGCTAGATGCTTGGCGTTTCCGTAGCAGTGGTGTTTATTTTTACTGACTTGGGTTGCTAGCCAGCCTCATGCCTCACAACCTTCCGTCTTTATCAGTTTTATTACTAGCTTAGCGTGGTAAAGGAGTGTGTCTGTGGCCGGGGATCGAACCTCGGGCCACATTCTTGGTTGGCGAGCATTCTACAGCTGTGCCACCGACGCACAAATGACTCTTAGTCTCTGAATAATAATAATAATAGTCAACAATCTTTTTTGATATTATTTTTAACAAAGCACCCAAATGGCTGTTTCTCACTTAGCGGTGACATGATACTGTGTAGATATGTGTGGATAATAATGAATGATAATACATGAATTCTATCTGATAGCTAATTCTCACATTGCACACTTCTACCTGCTGTAACGGTGGAAGATAAGAGACTGGATAACGGACCCTTCTATCACGGTAGAAAAACATCATATTTATACGTTCCTTGACCACAATAAAGTTTGGCTAAGTCAGAGGAGAACATGATCTTACAATAGTTAGAGAACCACTGGAAAACCAGCTGAGAGTACTGGACAGATGTTTCATCCTAGTTTGGGACTCTTCATCAAAACTCACCCACCGGGATTCGAACACAGAACATTCTGGTTACAAGGAGAGCCAGCTCGTATAGCATTAAGACACTGGGTTCCGATCCAATGGCCCATGAAGTCTAAATTCTACCAATTCACGACATAGGGTGACCCCTAGCCAATGTCTTCGGCGAGTGTTTGTCCTCAGACCCGACCAGCTGCACCCTACTTGTCACGACTTCTCACTAGAACCCCAGGTAACTACCTACCTGAATAGGGCAATGGTTCTCTAACTCATGTCAACTCATGATGAAATCCTGTAAACCAATCAAATCCCTAGAAAAACAACACTTGAATATGAGAGGAAAATACTTAGTTGTGATTGGTTGGCTATGGGCTCAAGGGTAAGCAACTTGCCCAATGAGGTTATTTCATGTTTACAAAGTAAACTGAATCTAGATTTGATTGAGATACAGGCTTCTACCTCTGCAACCAGTGACTTTCAATGTCGATTTCAATTTTGCCCGTTTCTTATCAATCTGCATCACGTCAGACTATTTTTTGTTCTAAGAGAAAATCAATAATAATTAGTTATTCATTTATAAATGATTAATCTGGGTCAAAGCTTACTGAAATGGAAACAATTCTAATTAGCAGTTATTTAATATCCTATGTAATATTCCTACTGTTATTAAAAGTAATAATAAAAATAATAATAATAATAGTGAAAATTAATATGACTGAGGTCGAAGCAAACGCCTTCTCTTTATGTACTCGTGAGTAAACACACGTATAACAAATTAGTTGATTTCCCTTTCTTGCTGCCTACTTTATTCGAATATGAAAAGCTAGGTAAAGAAGTGAACCTGTGACCAGAGATAGGACCGCGAAACAAGTGCGTGATTGGTAAGCGTCCTAACGGTGTGCCACCTACGCACGGCTAAATCAATAGAATCTTTATTTTGGTGGATGGCTGTATAAATACATCTTCAACAAAGATTTTACGTACAGATAGATGATGTGGTTATGGAGTCTCCTTTCAGTTCACTCTTAGCTGCCTGCTTCATGACAAGCCTTGAAAATGACATCCTCAACCCTTTCGTCGTTTAACTGTACCTATACAACAGACATGCAGATGATACATTTGATCCAGACTATCTCCTGAAAACCTTCAGCGTGAAACATTCATGAATAAAATTCACCCTAGAATGTGTATCAAACATGCCCTTGTCTATCCATGGATGTACTGGTAACTAGAAGAC